GAGCAAGAGCTTCTAAACAAAACCAAAGACCACAGTAAGCGGTCTACAGACACTTTTGGAACAATGATGCCTCATTTCAAAAGCAGTGAATTTTAAGGAGCACAATCCACGGAGAAGTCAGGTATCGACAGCAAGCTGTGGCCCAAGCACTTTGGAAGCAACAGGCTAGACAACTGGTTACTGGAAAGAGATCTGTAGCGGTGAGACCAAACCCAGCCCTTCCTCCAACTCCTGTAACTCAGCAAAGTCCCTTCTCTGCCCATCTCTGTCTAGCGGATGGTGAGGTAGAGACAAGAACTGCTGCTTGTACATGAGGGCTCTGACAAAAGTGGCAGCTGATCAGCACCTGCATTATTCCCCCCAGTTAGAGGCAACTAACACCTCCTGCTCATCCTTCCTTCTTTTGCCCCACAAAAGTTTCAGAAGCAACAGTTCTACTGCTTGCAGGACAGTCTTCCCCAGCAGCAGAAAAACAGATGACACCGTGCACTGAAAAGTGATAAAGTCTGTTTTGGAACTGGGGGAAGTCACACCAATCTTTCCTGTCCAAAGAAATTCCTATCAGCAGCCAACGAGACACTTCTCAAAAGGAGCTAAAAAGATGAGCTAGTGCAGAGAATAGCACTCACAGCATGGAAACACAAGATCTGAAACATCGGTTTGCTCACGGCAGACTGAAGCGTGGTGAACCTGCGAACAAAGGCCATGACAACAGTCATCTTCCGCAGTCCTTCCACAGAAAGCTGAGAAATTTGCCATGTCTACTTCTGCAAACCTTGACACTCTCAAGGATATACGTTAATTTTATTTTTGTAAGGAAAAAAGCTCTCCTGCAAAGCTTTTCTGCTTCAGTGAGAGAACCTGTGAAGGCAGACCCTCTTCATTAAGCCAAGGAGTGAGAAGGAAAGACCCAAACTACTGGCTGTTGATAATTGTAGGAATAGGAAAGGTCTGATTCATCAAGACTTAGCAGATGCAAGCAAATCAAGGTCTTCCAAAGGAAGCAGGATACTTCTTAGGAAAGAGAAATAAACCTTGTTTCTGAATGTCAGCTTCCTTCCCAGAGCTGCAGCAGCAGGATGGAGATTGCCAGTGCAGAAAACGACTGCTGATGGTTGCAGTTCTCCACTGAGGTCCTGCACGTGAATGGCAATGCTTTCCTTCAAAAGCTCAGCTATCCCCTGGTGTTCTTCCAGTGAAGCACAGATAGCAAGAGCAGCTAAAGACACCATAAAAGTGGCTGTACCAATTAAGCTCGACAGGCTGCCTTACACAAGCCAGGAATGGTTGGCAGATACACAGGTGCTGGAATCAAAAAAGCCTTGGAGCAGACGGCTTCAACTCCTTGCGTAAAGCCTGCGTAAAGACTTGATGTCCTGCAGTACTCTTGCTCTAGTGTCTGTTAAAAGCTCAGGACCTATTTTACTCCACATCCAAAACAAGCCGCTAGGATACCGGTATATGAAAAACTACGAATTAGAGTTACAGCGAAACCTAAGCTCAACACTACGGGTATTAAAAAACAGCAGTTGCATCATGATGGCAAAATTCAAGATTGACAGGGGCTCTACTGCCACTCATTTTCGCCAGTGAAACCACCCTCATGAAATAAAACTGAAAAGGTTTCAGTATTGTCATAGCTACCATAAGCCGTGAATGGCTGGAACCTGCTATAATCTGCTAGCAAAATACGCTTTCAATAAAGTGATTAGTGATATAATACACAACATTCATGACTGGATGATCCACAAATATGTGCTACAATAGGTTTGGCAAGACTGAAGGCCTTTCAAGCAGGGCCAAAATAAAAAAAAAGTGATCCCACTTTAGCCACAAGTGATATTAGAATACTGACCTGCTCAGAGCAGCTAAAAGGCTTTTAAAATAGGAATAAGCAAAGGGTTTGTTGTGTCTAAAGGCAGGAAACACTGCACAATTAGTTTTGCTGTATGTTACAGTACTACTGAAAGATTAAAGTGAAAAAAATGTATGACATTGTCTAAACAAATCTTCTAGCATTATTAATTTAAGCCTGTGCAACACTATGTGACTAATGTTCACTGGCAAAATTAAATTCAACTACAAAAATTTTGAGATCTGATTATGGCAATTAGGAATTCTACATACAGTGCAGCCTGCCCATTAACAGCCTACCCCTGCAGCATTTTCATATTAGGGTTTGTTATATTCTTCCTAAAAGCAAGAATTTTTGCCCATAATTAGTATTCCCCCCCCCGCCGTGCTTAATAAAGAAATGAGTTCATAAAGTTCTTGAAAACATTTTTCGTAACCAAGCAGGGCTTAAATCTTTAGAGATCCTTGTTCAAACATGAGTGGGGATTAACATTAACACCATCGGGCATTGACTAATCAGTTAGTAATAACTTCTACCTCAGAAATCCAAGGCTGGAAATACACTGGGTTTATGCCATCTCCGACCACAACCAGGACATAGCCAGAGCATCACGTTTGGGAGGACTGGAGTTCATCATGTTTTAGAACGGGATCTCTGGGTTTTCAGCTCTGGAGTGGATGGGGCTGACTCGATCTAACCCTCATCTAACATGACACTGCCATCGTGATATAAATAGTGTCTTACTTGCCTGCTTCAGAGGAACAATGTTAGTCAAGAAAAGGTCAAATGGTTTTGCCACAGGGGAAAAGAGCAAAAATCTTTTGTAGTTTAATATTGCCCTTTTTTTTTTTTTTGGAAGACAGGAGACTCCAGGTGCTAGTCGCATAGGAGGGAGAGGAATACAGAATAGAAGACAAGGCATATTTATCTAGTCTGCAGTAGCACAAAGCAATAATATTTCAATAATTTCTTAAGGCCCAGGAGGAACTAGTATTCACCCAGCATCTCACTGATCTCATCTTTACTTGGAATCCTGCAAACTCTATAGACAAAATCTGCTCAAACCTGCCAGCTTTGACAACGCAGAAATAAGTTATAGCTGCAGGCAAGTCTAGGGCAGATGTACTTGATACACCTACTAGTGAATGTATATTTTCTTATTCCACAACGCTTACCACATTGATGCTTTCAATTAATAAAGCATTAATAAACATGACTTTTGCCCACAGCTAGCCAAATCGATCTAGTTTTAGCCAAACAGGAAAAATACCTAGTTTTAAGTCTTTGAATACATTACACAACTTAAGGTTACTGCTACTAACCCTCAGATAAGCACTGTACAATTACCCACGTGTATTTATTAAGGTCGCTTTCAAGCATTTTTCTTGTCCTACAGAAAATAAAGTAGCTCTGTTACAAAATCTGCATGCGTGACAGGCTGGTATATTCATACACAGTTGAACTAGAGAAATACATACAGCTGGGAAGTGAAATTTTTACAAATTACTACATGAAGGTGACCCAAAGCCCGATTTATTGCTAGCTTTTATTGCTTGCTTTTATTGCTTCCAGCGCACTGGTAATCTACGCACATGGCAATACTTCAGTACTACTGGAAATCAGTAAACAAGGTCACATGCGTGTCAAACAGTTGCTTTGCACATTCTAAAAATACTCGTAGGTCCTGTTTGCTAGAATGGCACCGACCTTTCCTTGTGTCATCCGCGCTGCCTGTGCCGCTCACTGGGTGTAGCCTGCACCTACAGCTCACAGTGTGCAGGGTGGAATACCTCCTACTCAGTGGAAGTAAAGGTAATCGCCAAACTTGTTATCAACCAAATTAGAAAGTGAAATAATTACAGCAAATTTCCCCTTGGGCCATCTTCTGCAGACTACAAAAGATTTCTAAGATACTCCAAACTAGCCCATCTTTCCTGGGAAGTACCACACATTGAAAAATAATTGTTTATCATTAAAATAAGTTACAGCATGTAAGGTGAGCGAGATAAACGGAGTATCTGACTCTACTGGAATCACGTGTTTGGCCCAGACCCTGTGATACACAGGCAGCTTGCAGGTTATTTTTGCAAAGTATGTTTATGCAGTGACTTTAAGCCTTCAGGCTAAACATAACATAGTGCGAAGGGCTAACGAGAGACAATGCAGCAGGTCCCCTCAGCTAACCATCCTTTTCAGTCTAAATAGGAAAATTTGAGATGCAGCAGCAAAGACAACAAAATATACGTCACAGCAGTAGCCTATACAATCTGTACAAAGAGAATGGAAAGGCTCCAGCTATTATTCCAGTCTTAAAGTAAAGCATCTCCTCGAGTTGTGACTAGCAGAAGGACTTTGCTTTCCACACTGCTTTGTGAAGGTGGAGTGAATCTCACCAACTGCGGAATGCAGCGTGACAACCTGAACCACGGGCAACACGAACAGACATCATAAGGGCACACAATGCACTTAAAGTACAAAGTGCTTGCAGTGAAGTATCATTGAAAGAAAAGGCAGCAGAGAGAACAGTGTTCAGCAGAGCATGAGTCTTCTGGCATTTTGAACTCAAACCAGAAATTTTCCATCCTCACAAAAAGAATTAGATCATAAAATTTATGCGTAATAGATCTTTCTTTGGCCTTCTGAAAAGTTCCTGAAAATTCTGAGCACGTGAACCTTAGTTAGTAAGACTGAAATTGAGGATTTGAAAGAGAAATGAAGACAAGCTCGACGTTTATATAATAAAACAAAACCCAGTGCAAAGCTTGAGAAAAACAAGGAAATTCAACAGTTCTAACACTATACCTTCAGGATTTGCATTTTCTAACTGCCATCTGGAATTCTATTTTTTTATTTTAAATGCATAATGGGGAAGTAAAGCAAGACAGCTCGTACCTTCATGTCCTCAGGCTTTTTTGTTCATTTGTTTGTTTTTAAACAAGGAAAGTATACAGATAATGACTGGTTATGATTACTGAGAAATACCTAAAGAAAATGAGTTTTGCAAAATGTCCCATCCAAATGCATTAGCAATTAGAATCTCCTCAAGTTTCCATTAGTCTGCCAAAACAAGAAATAATCTTATAGCAGCTCTGACTAAAACTCTTGAAGATTGTCACATTGATTGAATTTCAAAGTATAGACTTACAAATTCATAGTCTCCATCCTGTGGTACTTTCCAATCAGATGAATTTTTTGTCTGGCCAGACACATTCTTCCCAAAGCTATTGATTTGATTCTCCTTCTCCTTCTGTTCAAAATATTCAAGGAATGATGGTTTGGCTGGCTGCATCGTTTCATCCCTCCCTGGAAATATTAAAAATAAAAAAAACAGTTGTTTTGAAAAATATGTTTTCAGTTATACTGCCTTACATCATGCCCAAAAGTGATTTTATTTTTTTAGCACGCACTAAATCACGTAGTACTGCTAAAGTACTATTTTTTCGGCAGCTTTTCAAATATAAAACTGACTGTACAGTGAGAAAACTGGAGAAGGGAAGCTTAAAGCCCACCACACAAGTGATTACAACGCTAGAGGCCTTGGCCTCTAGACCTGCATTCCATCCATCAAAGCACAACACCAGGTAACCGAGCTTCATGCACTGAATGCCAGAACTAAAATGCTATCAACTAGAGGGGTTGGGGTTTTTTTCATCCCAGCCAGGTTGCATGCACTGCAAAATACGTAAAGTTCCAAAACTAAACAGTGTTGTTTTACAAGCAGAAACTCATCGTTACATTTATAAATGGAATAGTACAAAAGCGAGGCTTTCAAAGACCACAGCTACCATACAAATACCACATAACTTGCCTCGGGTAGAAGTAGTCAAGTTCTACATTTCTTGGGTAGAAAGGATTAATTAGTTTGCAAAGCTTCTTTTTTTTCTTTTTATAAGCAGTCAGTTAGTAAGTTTTCAAATTTACTGCCCTAGTTTTCTTTTTGTACGTTAATTCCTCTGAACACACTTTCTTAGTGGATTACTCGAATAAGTCAGCTACATAGATTAACCATTCAATTCTAGCCTGCATTTAAGAAACTTGGGGTAATAAGAAATGGGCATGGGTACAAAGAGAGACAGAGGCGTCAAAATAACCGCCTAAATACAAATACTTTGATGTTTAAGAGCAGGTCTCATAAGCCTCCCAAGCACCATTCTCAATAACAAAGAGTTCACCCATGCTGATGGGAGAAGAAAGGATATAGCCAAGAGCACAAAGCTTTAGCACAACCAGATTTATATTATTCTTACTTGTCTAAATTATTCTTTAGAACAAGCAGAAGTTAAAAGAAAAGGAAGAACGCTGCTGATCCATTAAGAGCGACGAGCTAGTAAAACTACATTCTCATAGGGCGCCTAGGTGTGTTGGGTAGTTGGTGGGATTAGGGATATGAGCACTAATGTATCCCTTCTTCCTTCAGCCATCAACACCATCCGAATCCCTGCTCGTGTGATTGAAGTACCGTTACATACAAATAAATCTAGCAACCCATTCAGCAAACAGGTTTCCATCACTGAAGGAAGAAACGCAGGGTCACAAGTTCCCAGATCAAAGCAGATCCCCAGTGCTGTTTGGAGAGAGAGGAGGTGGGCTCCACGAACAGAGGCAGCTTCAGCTGTAGGGTGACAACAGCGCAATTGAGAAGGAAGCGATGAAGAGTGAGAGGATGAAAATACTGATTCCTAGCAGAGACCACATAAAAGCCAATACAGGAAGAAAACACAAAATTTAACTTCACAGCAAGTCGAGACCAAAAGACCTTCGCTATCTCCAGAGGAAGATTTCTTTACTGGTGCGACCGGTACAGCATCAGACGCTGCCCAGACTACTCACACTTAAAACTGACCTGTCCTGTGAGTTACAGTGCAGCTAATATCTTGTAAAGAGTCTCAGTCTAAATGAAGAGGCAGGCCTGCACAGAAAACATGCTTTAACAGGGCTGCACCACAAGACCAGGACAGCTGCAAATGCAGCCAAAGGCTACTCACAGCTTGTCACTGTGCTGCTCTTTACGATAAAATGCTTCACAAAAACCTGTGAGCATAATGGAAGTAAGCACTGTAACAATACCTAGTAAAATGCTTTTGTTCTGATAAAATATGGTTCTCTAGACACTGGAGTAGGTTAATCATACTTGAAACGTATGTTTTAGGCAATGCAGAAACCATCATTTTCAGAAAGCAGGATTAGGACTAAAGTTAACAGAAAATGGCATCAGAATAGCCAGTTCTGGACTGTGGAAATAAGTCCACTGTCGAATGCCATACATTTGAAATAAATATAATCTGTCAGGCAGGCAATCAACCAAAAGTTTAGAGCTTCAGTCAAGCACACAGGGGATGGAGGGTTTTGTGGGGTCTGCGTAACGCAGAGGCTCTCCTACAAGAGTGTGTACAGAAGGCAGGCTATCACAAGACAGTGCTCACTAAGGACATGCAGCAGTGCTTTCCTCTTGAAAAAATACTAGCTACTCTGGAAACCCATTAAGATTTAATCACCGAATATTATTCTTGCACATAAAATTGCCATCCAGTGATCCAGAACTTCCCTGGCAGACTCTGATCCTCAGACAAGTGTATGAATACCTTGGTCAGCTATGAGATACTTTAAGAAGTTATTTGTCTATAGACATGTTAAATACAGAACGAATTGCCACAAAGTATGAGAAATCTTGGCAGGATATTTGAGTTGTGATACTGAGAGAAGTGTGGTTCTACACAGTCTGAAATGTCACGATGCATTTTGAAAAAGCACTGCATCGTACTGCCTCTCCAGGATCAGCTAAAAGCTCAAGCATGAACTGAAGTGCTTATACTTTTGCACTATGACAACTGGAGCAAAGACAAATTATTCTACCCCTGGCAGTAGTTCCCCTTTTTTTAAAAAAACAAAACCAAGAACCTCATCGTACAGAATTAGATCAGGACAGACACCTTCAGACAGGCTGCGTGAAGGTCAGTCAGGAAACACAACTGCGAAGTGGAGAACAGATTTGCTGTTGGGAATAATTACTGAAATACAATAGCAATCCAATTACTGCTATGTGATAAAACATTTATTTAGAATGAAGTAAATACACCCCCTCGTATTCTGCTGCAGTCCAGCCTGTTTGAAGCAGGAGGTAAGTTGTTATGGCCAATCGTGGCAATGTTGAACACCAACAAATTTTGTAGAAATAGAGGAATTCATAACTACCTAGGCTACTCTATACACAGATTACTGACAGCCAGCCTAGGTCTCAGTAGTTCAGGCTTCCTAGGGAAAAAAAAAGAAAATCTAAATCAAGCTTCTACTGTATGTTTTGAAAACAATTGTTTGCAGCACAGGAGACTTTGAAAGCAAGTGTTTCACTCCAGTGACATTGGCTTATGCAGTTCTTTTCTATTTATTTATTTATTTTTAAGACTGAATTAAGCTCTGGTATGAGCAAATAGAGTGTCACTTAAGTAATCATGCTCATTTCCCCACACCTTGTATTTTACCAAGAACTGCAATATTTGTAAACAACTAGTTACATCTACTGAACAACAACCTATTGTAGCACCACTGAATTATCAAAAGGCATATCCAAACCCAAGCTTTATTTAATAAAACTTCTGTTTTCACACAGAAGTGAAACAGGCAAAGAAAGAAGCACATGAAGTGGTGGTGGTAGTTTATAATCCTGAAGAGCACAACTGGATTTTCAGCCCCACCAGTACAAGTGACCAAAAAGCTGGGGGGCTGCGGCAGAAGGCTGCCGGGACACGGAAAGGGTCTCTGCCATGCTGAGAGGGTGGGAGGAAAGGGGGTTTTGTTCAGCCTGGGGAGGGCAGGAGGGGCTCTAGCTGCTGTCTCCCACCCCAACAGGCCATCAGAGCCCCGCTCTCCCCAGCAAAAGGTTGAGAGGAACAGCCTGAACTGCAGCAAGGGCAGCTTGGCCGAACATAAGGAAGAAGGTTTTCACAACAGGGACGGTTGTGCAACAGAGCAGGGCTGGAGTGACTGTGCAAGGCCCCGAGCAACCGGATCTGACATTGCACTTGGTCGCAGCCATCACACAGGCAACCGGACCGAGGACCTCCAGAGGTCCCTGCCAAGCCAAGCTCTTCTGCGACTCACGCTCTTCACACCCGCTGTCAGACACCTCGAACCTTGCACTCACCTTAGGCTTTCAACTGCATGCAACATTTAGTCACCAATTTTAGTACATTTCTACACATCAACATGTAACACTCATCTTTAAACAAAACCCAAACGAACACTAAATAAACTGATTAAAAGAGATTGCTAACTGACAAACAAGAAATGGAAAAAAGGTAATATAAAATGAAAAATATATGGAATACAGATCTAAGATGTCCGAAATTTTAGTTGCTGCCATGATCTCAGTAGGGGTGCATATGCAGCAAGACCGACAGAAACACTCCTGGAGACAGAAAGACATTACAGCAAATCAATTATCATCCCGGCACGACTGGATTTCTTTTCGTCAATCTTGGCACCTAACAGCAGTGTCATCTTTCCAAAGATGATCTGCTATTAATTCAACACAAGAATCACACCGCTATATCTTTAAGATTTTGATAACAGGCAGTTGAAGACAAAAATCGATCACTGCTATTTGCAGAAGCAGATGCTGCTGAAGGATGACACCGCACTAAACGTGTCTGTGCCAAAAAGCATTTACCTTCCTAGTGTTATAGGGTTAGACTAAAATACGAACATTTGACAGAATGTCAAATGCCACAAGTGTGGCAGAGAAGAGCCAAAGAGAAGGTCATCCTGCGGTGACAAGAAAGGCTTCACCATCCATTTATTTTGGAACCTAAAGAGTTGCTTATAAGGATGAGCCACGAGAGCTCCCTGGAGCCATTAACGGTCTACCATTTAGATACGCAGGCATCTTTTTAGGAGCTGTATTAATTACACAAATGGAACGCCACAGCTCTGTTGGAGCTGGTCCAGCTGACTGCAGAATTGCAGGTTTGGGCTAGCTGTACAGAGCCACAGGCGCTGGGAGGACGGCTCGTCGTTCAGCCTGCCGCGTGGTGAAGAGCGGAAGCCCTCTGCAGAAAACTCACAAGTGCTGTCTGGTATAAAGTCATGTTTAGAAAAGTATAAGAACATCAGTATTGTTGTGTGTGAGAACAGAAAAAGATGTGAAATTGGTGGGTCCAAAGATAGAGAATGTCCTAAGTTGTGACTTATATTTTGATTTTGAAAGGAGTTTACTACTGATTTCAGTAATAGTGTTACTCTTTCAGCACCGGAAAGCAAAGTCCAACTGCATGCGGTACCACGCAAGCTGGGACAGTCCTTACCCA